CCCTGTGTGTGTGTGTGTGTGTGTGTGTGTGTGTGTGTACAGAAAAAGAGATATAATTTACCTGTCAACAACAGATAAAGGACAATAGCCAGACCCACAACAATGGAAACGATACTAAGCAACAAAGCTAGACGCCCAAGTCTTCTGGCCCCATCATAATCTTTTGTTTGTATCATGGACCGAGACTGAAGTATGAAGAACAGAAAGAAAATCATGGATAAGTAAGCCTAAATATGGTGGCCCCATTATGAAAAATGAGGGGCCCCATGAGCCACCCTAAACAGAAACAAGAAGGGTTTCTTCTCATTTATTAGGCTACTAAATGTGAACTCTACAAGTAATTAAGTTTAATTCTAAAGGTAGGCTAATTAAGTTTAACTCCAGTGACACCACTCACCATATGCGCGAAATAAAGCGCAAACAGGTTTATCGGAACGGCGGGGCAGAAGCAGGAGATCACGGCCACCCACATGAAGCTGCAGGGCTCGCGTTCCGAGGGCGTGGGCGACGACGCGCGGCTGAAGCTGACCCGCGACGGAGAGCGGGGCTCCGAGGCAACGTTAACCACAGTCTGTTCATTCTGTTCCGCTTCAAGACACTTCACGAGGTGTGTATCAGAGGGCGAGTGGTTTAATTCTCTTTTCAGCTCTTTGTCTGAGATGTCAAGAAGTTTCTGAGTATCTCCAAAATCGGTGGACTGCAGCGCGGCTCTCTCGCGCAGGGCATCTGTCGCGTGAGGGGCGTCCGTATTAATAGCCATCTCTTACAGAATAGATCCCTTTGTGTAAGAACAACATCAAATATACACTCTTATGAAGTTAACACGATCAGCATAAGATCTTGAATTTAATCCAGTTGTTCGCGGGGCAGTTCGAGCGAGATATTCGTACACCTATTGGACATCCATGCACGTCATCAGTATTTACCACTCTCGGCTTACATTGGAGATGCGAATCTGGACACTCTGAGTAGCCTAAATCAATCAGTTTCCATTGGGCACGACGAAAGGGCGCCTAACGGCGGTATCTCATTGGTGGACTCACACGCGTTAATTGACGCAAGCGCACGTATCTTTTATCTGTGGATCCAGACGCTTTCATTAATTCGTTTCTGTGCAGAGCGGATTCTAATCTCAGTCGCGTTTTGACCTGATTGATGTTTGTCTTGCAAGCTTTATTACACTAATTCAGTCATGTACTAATTCTGCAAAATTTAATTTATGATTATGAAAGTGAGTTTACGTTAAAAAAAGAAACCCGTAGCCTATGTACGGTTTTGTAGGCTATAGGCTATAAAACAAATAAAATTTAAACCCTGCAACGTTCTGAGAGGTTTTTAGTTTTTGGTAAGAAAAAAGCACCTGCTGGGTAGCTTACTTAAAATTTGTAGTCCGATACTAATTCCGAATTACATGACAAAACTTGTAGTTAGTAACGTAGCCTAATCCAAATAATAATCAGACTACTTTTTGATTACTTTTAGATTACTAACTCGTTTATCACATTGATGTAGATAGGATAATCTTGTTTCATATTGATATTTAAAAAAACAAAGAAAGAAAATATATTCCATTTGTTGTTATTAACATGAAGTGAACATGTAATTAATCATTAGGCCTATACTCAAGCTTTCCTAAGGAACTGCAGGGGGTTTGTGAGTTTAATGAAAAGTTAATAACTCATAAAAATGTAAAATAAAAATAAATAAAATAAAACACTAAAAAATGTGACCATTAACCAATGTCAGAGAACTGTAATATGCAGTATTATAATACAATATATACATAATTATAATTATTAACTTATTTCCTTAAACTCTCAGGGGGGAACTTCCAGTAAATATATTAGATGAAAGCGGTTCAGATGACAAAAAATGTTTGGGAATCCCTGCGTTACATGTAAATAAGGAGTAACATGAATTTGAGCATTTTTAAGTATTTGAAACACAAAAGCCTTCCAAAGACATAATAATACATGGTTATTTAACCCACTGAGTGATCATTCAAATAAAATTTGGCTTCATCAATAGTTGATGCAATGATGAAATATTGAGAAAACACTTCTTAAAATTTAAATGAGTTTTGTAAATCCAGTTGTTAAATTCTGTGTGGCCTTTCAGTTCTGTGTAGTTAAAGCCACCTGACTAGGGACTGGTCTTTGTGTGAATGTCCACAAAACTGAAAGAC